GAGTCAAAGGAGAGATCTTGCTCGGAAGAAAAAGCAGTCAAAATAATGATGGTGTATCCAATCATGATGTATAGAATCTCATGTGAAACAAGAGACAATCATATTGGTATTCAATCTTTTCATAACCCAACAACACAATTGCATTTCATAATTCTAATTTCTTTCTAATGGGATTTATTTAGGTGCCTTGGATCAAGTGAAGCATGCAAAAATCCAAAAGGCAAATTGCTTTGTTAAGTGAGTGAGAAAGTCTGATAGAAAAAGGCTGGTGGTGGGTGGGTGGCCTACTCTCCCTGCAAAGCCAAAATACTTTGAACCCTTTGTTAATTACTTCAAGAAAACTGGTATATATTTCTGTTGGTAGCCTGGTAGCACCTATAGACACAAACTGATCAATATTTCATCATTTTTATGACATTAGGTATATACACTGGTGTCTCATTGTTCATTTTTTTTCCATTCTTCCCATGCATTCACATGGATGGGCATGTGCAGAATTGCATGCTGCATAAGTTGTTGACATTTCCACATGGGTCCTAATCACATTTTCTCCTTAAACTAATCTAAAGAGACAAAATATTAAGTCATGGAAATCTCTGCCCCCAGCCTCTTAATTATCTCTCTTAATTATATTTTTGTCATCTAGTCACATAATTTTCTGCTTACTAGGCAATGGGCCAGCCCAGGTTTCATCAGATTGGGACATTATCTAGCGGCTTTGACAAAATCAGAGTGCTTAAGCACAAGGGGGCTGAACCTGGATCCATCAGATGCCAAGGGTTACCGTGCTTGATAGAAATGTTTTTCAGTTTTTTATATCTGAAGAAAACTCTGGAAGAAAATACTAAACAGAGCAGGACCGTGACTTAGGCTTTATCTACACGCGATAGCAAAACGTTCGTATGAGAGAATTTCTGTATATATATTCCATTTGATAATGGCATGTGTATGATAATTTTTATGTCTAAATAAATGGGTTTGTAAATATTTTCCTCCATTGTCGATTTTCCATGCACAAAGGTGTTTCTGGAACATGCATTATTGAGCAACTGGGCATGCTTTACATATTGAACATGTTTTCTTCCATACAAAACACAAAACAGTCCCAACACGTGGCACCAACTTATTGGATATCTCCGATTTGGTAGGCTTTTTAGAAGTTCTTGCAAAGTAATTGCCTGCTACAAGAGGACACATGATGTAGGAGGAAATGATAAAGAATTAGATCCTATGTGTTGGGCCAATTAAACTCCGACGCTTGCAACCTTTGGGTTGACTTTTTTTTCAATTTTATTTGCTTCTTATTTTGTGTCACAGGGAAAGTCGGGCCTTTAGTTTGGTTAACAATCTTTTCAGCCTACATAAGTTGGGCCAAAATGGGTTAACCAGCAAACCTAGGCCGAGCTTAACTTTTAACAGTGAGTTAAGAGATGTTGGGAGGCCCAATAGACTCAATTTTGTAGAGTCGTTCTATAGTGAGGGTGCAATATATAAATCATAGATGCGAACCTCTATATTAGCCACATAATTCATCTAAATAGTAACTTCACTTAAGTTTAATGAAATGATCGTGTGGCTAATATTTGTATTGGTTTCATTGGGTGGCCCGATTTGGATTAAATTTTAGTTGAGTATAAACCAATCCTTATGATTGGAACTTGTAAGACGCAATATGTTGAATTATTGTCCAATTTAATAAGATCGGTTCCATAACACCAAATAAATGCCATTACACTTGTCCATTTTAATTGAAATAGTCGAATCCAGTCGCAACCACCAAGCGGCTAAACTTATTGATTGCAATTGTGACTTCATTCAACTCGGGGCCACCCAAACTGGAACCTAACATTGACAATATATATTCATAGAAAACCAAATATAAAATATAAAATATAAAATATAAAAAAAGCGTATTTTACAAGGGAAAGTGTAGCTCTGATAGGCCCTTAAAAAAATGGGGTGGGTTTTTGGGGTGTTGAAGAAATGTTGGATCTGTTGTGGTGGGATTGGCTTCTTAATTTAAGGAGGATTTAGGGTTTCGTTGGGTGGCAAACGTGGTCGGTCAGATACCCAGAAGAGAGAGAGAACACAATTAGGTGCTGACTGACGCTGTTGTATAGTGTATGCTTAAAGCTTGAGGAATATCTGCACATGGTGGGGCTCCTCTGTTTTTTGACCCACACATAATTTAACCTCCCATAAAACAAAATAACTATAAAAATAAATAAAGTTAATTAACTACTTTTCTTTGTTAGCATTATTTATTTTCACTAGTTGTCTTCTACCGTATGAAGACTTCAAATTAAATCCAATATAGTCAATGGAGATGCAACCTTTTCCCAAGTTTCATTTTAGAGGCCAGTTATAACTTATATGTGAATCGATTATAACCCAACAACATTGGTAATTTGAGCATATATAGATTAAGTTAGTTGGTCAGAATAATGAGCTCGTTCTTTGGCACTCAAGTTTGAATCTCCTTTTCCGTTAATTACATAAATTTAGAGAAATTTAAATTATTGTTTGTCTATAAAAATTATAATAAAAAATTGGTAATTTGGTATGATCAAATTCCAAAACGCATCGTATTATTTTCCTCATCTACTTGTAACTAGGCAGTGTAGGGCAGTGCTGAAATAAGTAACAACCCAACTTCCCATATGCCTCAATTTCCTGGAAACTTCACAAGACCCATTAGAAAAATCTCACAATCGCATTAAATTAGGGGTCTAAACTCTAAAGAAAAAGTACAACTTAAAGGAGCGGTCGAGTACCTAAAGTACCAGCTGGCAAGTTTAAAGCAGAACCAAAGCCTCTCCTTGGCAAGGGGACAAAATAAAGCATGACAATGCCCAGCAGAAATGCTTGCCCAATTGTGTGGCTGATTGTTGATGGCAAAAGAAAAATAATTGGGTCACGGCTGTCTGTTAGGTTTTATCACAAAGAGAGAGGGAGAGCACTTAAATAAGACCATCTTCAACCCATCACACCAGACTCAAAATATCCTAAATTTTAACTCAATTTCTCTCCCAAACTTAAAAAAAACGTAAGGGGTTAAAATTTAGGAAAATTCGAACTTGATGGAGCCCATTGAAGGTTGACGCAGTCCATGTGCAAGGAGGAATCAATAGAGCGCCATGTGTTGAGTTGCTGGTGCTGCATAAGGTGTCGTGCGCTCGTGTCGCAATACTTTATTTTTATATTCCAACAATAACCCGATCCATATTAAATCCAAACTAGTTTAATTGAAAAAAAAATATATATATTTCAACGACTGAAATTTAAATCTAACGATTAAAATAATATCTTAAATTAATCTAAATCATATCCAATCTCAAAACTCACTCCAAACTCTATAAATACCCACCTATTTCTCAAATGAAATTATTTTTATGGAATTTCAATTATTTTTAAGTAAAATTGTTCATAAAATTAAATTACGAAGTTATTTAAAAAGATTAAATGAAGAAAAGTTATTCATGAAAAAAAATATTAGACTTAAAACTTAAATGTGAATAACACTATTTTGCTATTATCGGCCAATCATAGTATGTCATACGTGATAACTTTTCTATATAGCATTCTTTAATTGGTTGGGAATAACAAAACAATATTATCCCTATTCGGTACAATTTGTTATGCCATAAATGGCATATGATATTACGCATGGTGCAAATTGTCAAGCTGTGTGCAGATGGAGGGCCAGGATAGTGTGGCTACAGTGACTTCCTTTGCCACTTGGAGTTATGGTTTTCTTGATTAAATAACACATGCCATGTTTCTAATATGAAAATAGGAACTTGGGTTTGGCTATCTGATGACTGATGTCATGTCAGCTTCTGTATGTCCCCCAAGGTTTACAAAGGACTGTGTCTTCACACCACCAGTTCTTAATTATGGTAGGGCAACCAGATATATATTTTCAATAAAAGGTCGGGAAAATTGAAATGAAACGAAAAAAGTCCGTGATACAAGCGATAGAGAGGAGGGAGAAATCGAACACAAGACGTCGAGTGTAGCTCCCAAATGTTGATAAATAGAACAGCCATAATTGGAATTTGGCGTTTTATGGGTTTTTGTCCTTAGAAAATCCATCTGTTGTTAAATTTGAAATAGATGGTAAATAGTAGTTGCTAGCTAGCTAGTAGTAGTATTCCATGATGAAATAGTAAATAATTTAAAAAAGCCAAAAAAGAATGGGAAAATAAAGTGATGGGCAGGCACTTGCATGAAAGAAATAGAATCATATATTATTAAAGGGAGTTACCCCCCCTGTGAAAAGCTCCTAGCTAGCACAGTACAGGACAGGAAACTTGGCTGGAAAATTCGAATAGAATCACATACGTTAAACAAGTGGTTCAAGTTCTTCACACGCTTTGAAGAGAGAGAGAGAGAGAGAGTTTGGCCATTTCCAAATTTGCATTCAAAATGGGTAAGTTGTTCAAATATTCCATGCCTTGGATTGACTTTTTATGTACTAATTTTATCATAATGTTTGAGACTTAATTTTCATTTAATAATAGAGGAAGAATTTTCAGAGTTCACCACAAATGGCGCAGGTGTGTACTTGTAGCGTGAGAGTTGCTTCAGCAGGCTCCTTTCTTGGCTTTTTCTTCCTCCTCGCGCGGGTTTTCCTTTTACCCTCTCACCTACGTTATTACAGTCTACAGATTTATGACCAATAATAATAATAATTACAGATTTTGTTTGGTCATATTCAATTTGCACTAATAATAGGTAACCAATTTATACGACCAAGAATATAATACATTTTTGAAAATATAAATGTCATATTTACATGTAAACGTCCATTTTGGTGAATGTGATGATATAATAACAGACTTAGTGGTGAATCTATAGAGTAAATTTAATGATTGTGGATTGTGGATCGGGACTTTTGCCTGTATCTTATAATTTTTTGCTTAACAAATAAGGAATTTGTAGTTAAAGTAGTTAAAAAAGATTTTTTTTTTTTCATCCGAAATTTTGTTTATATTTAAAGGGCAATGTCACGTAGCGGAATCTTATTACATTTGTCGTTGAAAGTCCAATATTTTCATGGTCTTTAGTCTCTCCTCCACCTTTATCTTTCTCCTCCCTTTTCATCTGTGAAGTCTGTGACAGGCTCTCTCTCTCTCTCTCTCCTCCCAATACCCCCATAAAACCCCAAATCCTCTTTCTTTCTCGGTATCTCTCTTTTTTGTATGTCCCTCCAAAAAGCAACAAAACCCTTAACAAGATTCTCTTAAATCATCACATTCACACCCACACATCAGACTTCATATCAAATCCAATCTACCAATCCACCACCACAACCCAATGTCCCGCCACAACTCCTCCACTTTCCCTTCTTGCTTCCGCCCCTCCTCCGCCAAACCCACCGACCTCCGCCACTCCCCGCCTCCACCTCCTCCTCCGCCAATCTCCGGCCATCCCAACCTCACCACGTGCCTCTACCACACCGACCTCGCCCTCTTCTCCCTCACCTGGTCCCGCTCCTTCCTCGGCCGCTCTCTCCACCTCAACCTCCTCCACCACTCCTTTGACTCTCCCCTCCCCCCTTCTCTCTCCTCCGCCTCGCCCCCTTCCTTCCACCTCCACATCAAACCCTTCATCTTCTGGAAAAAGCATGGCTCCAAGAGGCTCTCCCCCAACACTCGCATCTTCTGGGACCTCTCCAGGGCCCGGTTCGGGTCCGGACCCGAACCCCAATCCGTGTTCTACATCGCCGTCGTCGTCGACGACGAGATGACCCTCCTAGTCGGAGATTTGACCAGAGAAGCCTACGCCAAAACCAGAGCCCACAAAGCCCAGACTCCCCAAATCCCAATTCTGAAACGGGAGCATGTGGTCGCCAAGAAAATCTACACCACGAAAGCGAGATTTGGTGGGAAGCTGAGAGAGATCCAAATCGACTGCGGGTCCAACGACCTGAGCCGGCTCTGTTTCAGCGTCGACGGCCAGAGGGTTCTGCAGATAAAGCGTTTGAAGTGGAAATTCAGAGGCAACGAGCGAATCGAAGTGGACGGGACGCCGCTGCAGATCTCGTGGGACGTGTACAATTGGCTGTTCGAGAGCGACAGTGACGACGGGCACGCCGTGTTCATGTTCAGGTTCGAAGAAGACGAAGAAATCAACAAAGAGAGCAATAATTGCCAGCTGGGTCATTTAAATTCATGGAATTTTGGGATGAGTGGGATCGAGTGGAGGAAGATGGGGAAGAGCTTGTCGTCTTCTTCGGTGTCGATGTCGTCTGCAGGGTCTTCTGGAGGGAGTTCGTCGGTGATGGAGTGGGCTAGCATGGAGGAAAGTGAGCTCAGCGGCGGTCCTACTGGGTTTTCTTTGCTGGTTTATGCCTGGAAAAGGTGAAAATTCAAAGGAAAGGAAAGCAAAGCAATTCAATTCAAATTCTTCAAAGTTACAATTTGAGTAGGCTGGTTGGTTCTATATAATTAATTGTTGGTGAGATTGCCTAGTAATTTGTTACTTTTACTAACCCATTTGTTGTTGAACATAGTCGAATAAATCCATTTACTATCTATCTATATCTACAAGGGACGGAGGAAACTATGAAATTCATAGATACTTTATATGAGATTAGATCTAACAAATCTTACTTAGCCTAGCTATATGTTAAAGACAAAACCGTGTTCGGTATTTTTTTGTTTTTTTTCTACTGGCAACTTGGAAACGGAATTATTTATGCTGTAAATTGTTCGTGTAATGTGATTTATGAAGAAGAACATACTTGTTTTCTCGTTCCGATTAAATTTTTTTTAACGAAAAAAGAAGAAGCAAAAAGCGCAGAGATAACAACATTTGGATTTAGCCATCAGACTTGCACGTAACTTGGGTTTTTTTTTTATTTTTTTATTTATTTATTTCTTGGATGTGTAAAATTATGCATCTTTGGTTGTTCTTAGCTATGTGGCACGGACACGAGGATATGACACGGCAACACGGAAAATTTCAAAAAATTAGGACACAATACGGTTAGGACACGGTAATTAAAATAATAATAAATAATAATAAAATTATAATAATATATACTTATATATATTTATTTAGAAATTCGTATTCAATACTTCAATGTCATAATACCATAAAACAAATTCATACTCATTTGATATAACTTAGTATTACTCATTTTTCCCTAAACATAATAAATAATGATACACATATTTATTCGCACATATTCATGATTCATTATAAACCAAATTTCACACATTTTTCATATATGATCTATCATCTTCAAAATAATAAAAACGATTTCCCACTTAATAAAATAAGAATCGAGTTTGCATAAATAAATAAATAATTAAAAAATATAAATTTTAAAAAAAAAGAAAAGTGAATGAATTACCCACTCAAAAAGATACTTCTCTCACGACCAAATTGCTATCAATACTAAAAATATCAACTCTTCTATGAAAAAACAAAGAAAAAAATATATATGTTTAAAAAATATTGTTTACATTTTTAGCCAACTTTTTAAAAATATTTCAAATATGTCCACATAGTTTTCAATAATTATGTTTGACCCCAATTTTTGTTTTATAATTTTCAAAATAGTCCATGATGTGTCTTGACTTAAGTTTATTGTGTCCAAAAGTGTCTTGACCGTGTCCAAAATGTGTCTTGACCGTTGACCCGTGTTCAAGCCGTGTCCGAGGCGTGTCCGCATGTTTGACACTTCAGCCTGATGGAGTGCCCGTGCTACATAGGTTCTTAGACATTTCCATAAATTCATAAGAGCATTTGCAATAGTTGTTCAATAGTTCAATAAATTGATCTTTTTTGGCTTTTATTGAATTGAACTACATTTTTACTTGCAATAGTACAATTCAATAGCTTCCGATGAATAGTTATATCTACTTACACGTTTTTTTACATACTCAAATAAAAAATAAAAAAATAAAATTAATAACTCAAAAAGATCTTTAAAAAGAGCCCAATTTTGAATGTATTTGAAAAAATTTATTTATTTGATATATTTTTTCTATTGCATTGAACTATTAAACAACTATTGAGAATGCTTTTAGCAACATAATGCATTAATTGCGGATTTTATTTATTTATTTTGTTGTTGGCATGTAGGTTCCATGATTAGTCTATTGTAATTGCAATAGAGAGCTCATCACATAGCACCCTTTATTGCAATTGCATTTATTGCAATAAACTAAATCACATCATTGCGAGGGAAATTTTACTGTTTTAATTCAATTTCATGAAATAAAATTACATTGATTTTAACTATTGTAGATGTTGTAAGAAACCATCTGAATTGCGAACCATGGAAGTTTGTTGACCGACTGTTGGATGAATGAATTAAGTGAAAAAACAAGTGACAGTGGATTGAAAGTGGGGGGGAAATGTTAAAGAAAACAGAAATCCAATTTGGTTGGTACCACTGTACCAGAATCCAGAAGAGAAGACAACAGCGGAACCCAAACGAAAGGGGTGTGTTTGAAACGGTCAAATTAGGATGTGTATTATTGTTTTGGGAAAGAAAGAAAAGGTCATTCAATTCAACATCAACTTGTATTCAGAAGCTTCCGCGGTATTGGTGCTAAGGTTGACTGTTTTTGTACCTTGTGAGACACTCTCCGTTATCCACTTCCCTCTATATACCATATTTTATCACCCACCTCCTGCCTTTCTGGACAAGTATTTATTTATTTTCCATAAAGAGGGCTTGCATTACATTGCATACGCCCTAATCAGTTGCTTTTTAAACTAAAAAATAAAAAAATAAAAAGCGATATTTTATTCATTAAGAGAATTACATATGATTTTAAAAAGCATGATGATATCCGATGATTTTTATACCACATGAATAATAATATCAGGAGAATCCTTATATCATATGAATATTTCAGTTAAAGATAAAGCAAAACAAGCAAGTGTTAAGGGTTAGTTTGGTTTTGCTGTGTGTGTGTTTTTTTTTTAAAGTGCTTCTGTTGTGCTGTGAAAAAAAACAGTTAGGCATTTGGTAAATTTTATTAGAAAAAGTACTGTGAAGAGTCAAAGTGTTTGGTAAATTTATATTAAAAGTACTTTTAGTATGTATAATGACCAAAAAGAACATGATGATGAAATTGTTACTAAATTTGTAAAGTAACAAAATTAGTTCCAATTCCAAATATTGTGACCAAAAATATAAAAATATAAACAAAATTAAATTAAAAAAGTAACCTAAAAAAACCCCATCCCACCATACCCACCTGCATCTCTCTCTCTCTCTCTCTCTCTCTCTAGCCCCAAAACACCAAGAGAAAAAGCCCAGATCAAGAATTTTAAAACCAAAAACTCTTGGTATAACCATAGTTAACTCTTTACTTTGTATTTATGTAATTATTGTTATGTCAACATGTCAAATATTGAGAATAATGATGAAGATACACCTTGAGTTAAAGTGATGAACAAAAATATTCCATATTTCTGCCCAAAAAAGAAGGTATGCTCAGTCAATATACCATTAAATGAGTTCTTTTCTTACTTTCAATTCAACTGTACGTTTTGCTGACTCGGAGTAAAAACACCCCCCAAGACAGAGTAAATCGTTGATAAGCTTGGTGTAAATGCAAAGAATGGTAACTTAGGGGACATAGAGGTAAAAGGTAGGGGTCCAAAGTTCAATCAACGCGCAGAGTTTGTCGAGATGTTTCTTGTAAAAAGATGGCATCTCTCGAATCTAATAAAAGGCAAAGAGAGAGAGAGAGAGAGAGAGAGAGAGAAGTACGTTTCATGCAGTGCAGAGAGTGTTTTGTCTTCTCTTGCAATGGACGGGAATGATTTTGTCGATTTCTTTCAATACTAGGTATCTTTTCTCCGGGTAAAGCTACAGCAATACAGCAATTCAGCAATTGAGGAGGAAACAACTTTTACCTACATTTCAAGGCACTCGTTAATTTTCTTCTGTAAAATGATAACCTGAGCTCAAGGAACACTACCAAAACATTGCCTCCTCATCCATACCAAATTCAAGCTTCCTTCCAAGTAAGGTTCTTGCAAGTTGCAACAAACAACTTGTTATGAAGTGGGTTTTGCTACAAGCCTTGATCCCGAGCCCATATATGCATTTCATTTGGGTTCTCTTTGTACATACAGGGATTAGACTAAACATGTTTCCAGGATCAAGCCCAAACTCAAACCCCAGACCAGTACAAGAACTGGAAACCAAGCCAACCTCCGACATGAGAAAGCATTTGACCAAGAATGGGACCCCAATCAGACTGTCTTTCTCTTCTCTCTAATCCATAACGAGAAAACCACCTACTTTGTGCAATTCATGTCTACATTCATTCACATTAAGTTTGAACAAGTCAGCAGCCAAGCAAGAATTAATTTTGATTCATTCCTTCCATGCCGTGCATATATGAATGTAAACCTGCACGTGTGTATGTTATGTGGACATGTCACATGCTTGACTGCCTTCTTATTTTGCATGACTTTCTTGAAGATGCACGAGAAACGGAAAATTTGAAAGCCATCAACCTTATCTCCCCAGTATGTCAGAAACACGAAGCATTATACACAAACAGGAACACTGAAACAAATTTCACGCAGCTGTTTTACATAATAATAAAAACAGATTACACAACGGGGCAAAATCAAAATTTGCAATTTCCCCGTCTGTCGTTCATATTGAACTCTAAAACCCTAGAAAGTCTCAATCAAATAGGTCACACCTTTACAGTCAAGGCTGAGGTTGATGAAGAATGGATCAAAGAGGAAGATGGAGGAACACAGTGTCTTTGTCTGCTACTTCTGCCTGCAGACCCCCCACTGGAGGGTTGTAAAGAAGAGGGCCGAGGATTTGAGGATGCACAATTAGTTGAAAGGCTTCTCAATTTCTTCTTATCCCCACTGTAAACCCCATCTGATTTTACTTGCCGAACTTTAGTTTCATTCAAACCAGCTGGAAGAACACAATTGCAGAAAAAACCTGAAGTTCATCAAGCAGCCACACACACAAAAATATATTAGGATTGGTTTTCTCAATAAGTAAATAATTTAGGGAACGAGAACAATCTACGAATACCTTTTTTTTTTCTTTAGGAAAATGTTTCAACAATTGGCATTCCCATGGAAACAAATCTAAAAGTCATGTTTGCAGCACACAAACAGAAACAGGTGCTACGTTGGTGATCAGCCTTCTAACATCGTAGAGATCCCAAAAGGATATAAAACATGGGCAAATAATGACCAACAGAGTCATCATTTCTACCCAAATTGTTCTTTCCCATTGAGTTTTGAATCCTATGTTTGCAATGATCTCAATCTAAAGATGGATTGAATCTGTGATGATGTGAGGGCAAGGGGTAACAATGGTAGAGCTGGTTGTGGCATTGGCATCATGCTGTGGTTTTGTTTTGTGGTCGTACTACTAATAACGGTGGGATTGCGAAAAACTGATAAGAGATAATAAAATCCTTACCAAGTCGAGCAAGACGGTTGACCCAGCGAGGAATAGGCTTCCCCGTCAATCTGGTACACACATCATTACAGAAGTGGTTGCAGTTCTTGGTGATCAGATGGTATGTGTTTCCAGAGTACTCTTCTGCTAGTTTCTCCATAAATGCACGGACCTCCTTGGGGCCTAAATCTGTTCTTCCGATCAAAATTGATTTTCTGAATACGAAGCCAGGACATTGTTTTGGTTCCACTTCAAAAATTCCAGTCGTTGCATGGTCATGCGCTCCAAAAGCATATTCAACACCATGTACTACGGCACATTAAAATAAAAATTTCTTAAGTGAATAAATAAATACAAACATATGTAAGCAGGAGCTTAGATAGACATGTGAGAGAGTCAATAGATAACCATGTCTACCATAAAAATTTAAGTCAATGGATTACATTATGTCCGTGCGGTTGATGATAAACTAAAGAAAAACAATCCCTTTTTTTATACCCGCGATACGAAAATCAGTCGAAATGAGGAAAATTGCTTACAATTGAGTTTATTTGAGACGAAAGGTTTTCACTTTATTACACCAAAAGCATGAAAACTGAATTCAAATTAGCCCAATTGCTTAAAATCACTCTGTTTCTTTATTGTGCAAACCAAAATTTGTGAATCAAAACATTGAGAATCTCTTTGATTCTTCCAAAAAGATGAAACCCAAGTTCAGCTGAGTCGAAATTACACTAACCAGATCCAAATGAGCATTTAAAATGATACGCAAAACACATCACAAAGTACAAATGATTGGATTTTCATAACAATTTTAAAGACAAACCATTTATTCTGTTTCATTCAACCAAAACATACACGCAGATCTACTTTCTCAGCATCCAAACAAAGCAAGAAAGCAAGAAAAGAAGAGGAACCCATTAAAACCCATTACCTTGTACACCGGAATGGTAGACCCCAAGGCCGAGCCAATAGGCGTAGCCATTGATCGGAGTAAGATCGTACACATTCAGATAAACCGGCACTTTCCCAATCTTCTTCTTCCTGGGCACCAACACCATCCTACACAGCATTTTTCTCTCAGACTCGTCTCTCCAAAATGAAATCAGAATTAAGAACGGAGCTCCAGCTGCGAAAAACCGCTACACATCCACAGCCTTGGCAGCGAGAATTGCTCAAACCGAGGGGTGCCTTGGAAATTGAAGAGATTTTGGAGGGGCCAAAACCGGAACAGAAGATTCGTAGAATTCCTTTACAGAAAATTTTAATGATCCTTTTCTTGGAAGACGAATCTTAGGTGGTTCCGGCGGCCGAAAGTGTCATCGCCGTGTACTCGCTTTTATAACTAAAATGGGAGACGCTGTTTGTTTTGGTAGTGAATTGCTGATCAGATAAAACACCCCTCCAAGTTTAACTAATTACGGAAAATGCCATTCCAGCTCCAAAACCAAGACCATGACCGAAACCCCAAAAACACCTACAAAATACAAACCAGGTAAAAAACCAACGTATGCAAAGGATAGGCTTCTAGATCTTCTGCAACAGAAATCTCCAGCTGCTGCATAATTTGGTCATTTTCTTTTTAAGTTTTTAAGATTAAAATGGGAGTAGAGTGATTGGTTGAAGAAAAAGAAAAAGGTTGAGTCCATTTCGTCCACGTCGTGCCTTTCTTTCTTTTCCAACCTAACGTGTAAGTTAAGTCTCCGCTGCTTCTCTGCTTTTGCAAACCTTACTTTTTGGTATCAAGTGGTTGGAAATTGGATTAGGGTTAATATATTATTAATCAGGTTTAAATATTATGCAAATGTGGGTTAAGGGCTAGTTGCTTAAGAAAGTGTGTCCGCTCCTTTGCACCAGAGTTCAAATTCGAGTTCAAACCCCCTCCAAACAAGCGATATCTACGTGTAGGGGATTCAAACTTGGATACCATGAGATGCATACAATACAAGCGATATCCACGTGGAGGAAATTCAAACTTACTTAATACCTCTACCAACTTGCCTAACCCCGTTTGCATATAATATAAATTATTATATGACCCTGCTTAATGCCACAAAAGTGGGAAGGAAATTGGGGAATTTACTGGGGAAAAGCAGAGGAATTTAGGGACAAATTGGGAATTGTGATTTTATTTTTATTTTTTGGTTGGAAGAGTGAAGAAGAATCTATGAGGCTGTGAACTTGGGTTCCATCGTTAGTCGCATTGATGGGCTTATATATCCAGGACCACGAGCCATTGTCACGTACAATGGAGACAGTAGTGATTTCACCCACGATATTTTAATTAGATTAATTTTTGTTTAATCAATCATAATAGCTTCTTAACTTTTGATATCATACAAAACTCGAACAGAAATATTCCAACTTGCATAAACCGGAGTAACTCATTGCGTACCAAAGAGATTAAAACTCTGTTTTTTTATTTTAAGTTATTTTGGATTTATGGTCAACTTCGTGTTTAGGATATCTTTAATGAAAATATAATTTTCTATTTGTTTGTTTTTAACTACACAACTCTTTGTAATTTATAGCAATTGTCGTGCTGACGTGTTATTAATAATTCCATATCATTTTTGTAATGAAAATCTTACAAAACTTGCAAATATTTGATTACCACAGCTAGAAATGGCAATGTATTCGTACTATTTGCACCAAGTTTGAATTTACTTCCCCATAAATTAAAATAATTTAGAATATCACATTATTAAAAATAATGATTATATAAAGTGTGAATTTAAATAATATAATTATTACCAATTGTGCCAAAAATATTCATATTGGGTATAAAAATATTGTTGTAATTTCTTTACTACAATAATTTAGCATCCATATATATATATATAAGATTTTAAAAAAGTTAAAAAAAATTAAGAGATTAGATTTTTCGTTACTTCCGTTTTTCGGATGGTTACATATATTTCTTTATATGGTAGTCATTGATCGCATCCTTAACATCATAGAACAAGAAAGATGGATGTCACATCTACTACCTGGCTGTGACCCCATTGTTTATTAATTTGATATCCATTCATTTTGGCAGTCAAGAATGACCATAAACAATTTTATATATAAGGAAAGGATGTCCGCAATTTTATTTTTATTTTTATAAACCATAAAATATGAAGAGTTTGGTCAAATTTGAATGGTCATAAACTTTGTGACATATGATTCCTAATTGGTTTCGATTTTCCGACTTTGTACAAAAACGAACCAAGGACATAATATCCACCTTGTTGTTTGTCCTTCCTTAGCATTCTAATTAAATTAATTGTGCAGTAATGATAACACACCGTAAAACTTTCTATTTTTGTATTTTGTTTACATCATCCTTATTTATACGAGAAACACTCTCATACAAAGAGGATAACACTTTTTACTATCCCGATCAATAACATAACGACATAACCTTTTTGCACCAGCACTGCACCCATGTGTCCAGACGGAGAAGCTCATTATATATCCGCGTCATCATCTCATCGCCATCATCAAAGTAATGCAGTTTTTCATTTTCATTATGATGCAGCGTGGCAAATACTGTTGCTGCTTGTGCATTTTCATGTCTTATATTATTCAAGGGATGGCCTCAAGAAATTATTGCACTAACCCCATGTCGGCTTTCAGGACCCACTTTATTGGATTTCAATTCAATCAATTATCTCAATATTATTTGAAATAATAATAATAATAATAATAATAAAACATTGCTCCCTCCTTTGAATGTTCTGGTTAGATGAGAAGCATATGGATAAAATGCTGGTGAAGCGGAGGAGTATATTAGGGCTATGCCAATGGCCACAGAATTTTGTTGCCATCACTTTCAGTCTTCTTCAAGTTTTCAGGCATCATGTTGGGTGGTTAAGAAACCAAGGAACCGAAGCAGAAGATAAGACCGCCATGAGCTCTATGAACTATAGAACCCTGCGCTAGGGACAAGTAATTAAGAAGCGTCACACCTCCAGAATCATTCATACCATATGCATTTCAACTTTCAAATAGTGATGCCTATAAACAACAAAAGTGCATGTTTCAAGCTTGTTGTCGCTACGTAAGAGGTTTGTAATTCAAATAATTAAAAGCGTTTACGAATGTGTCAAGGCTTCTTGTTATCTATTTCCGCCTTTTTTGGATCTCGTTTCTCTTCATCAAGGCCCAAAAGTACATTCTCTGCGGTTTGTAGCCAAAGCCCAAACAATTGCGTTCTTTTAGTTGGGCCGAGTTTGAGGTCCATTATAATATTGTTTACGTTGGACGTCAAAGCCCAGATTAGATATCCATCTTCTTCCCCATTTCAGTTCCATTGTTCACCTAAAACCCCAATCCTTAAACCCTAAAAAGAAAATTTAGATTCTCAACCTTAAATGGCTCGATTAATTCGAACTGCTCAAAGTGCGCTGCGATTGTCTTCTTCCTGTTCATGCAAAACCTTAATCAATGTCATTCAACGCCACCCAAATCCTTCGCTGCAAGTGCAGAAAGCAATCTCAACCTCTCTCTTCCAAAACAGACCTTACGCTTCTGAGACGCTTCCCAAGTCGCCCATGGAAGCTAACATCCTTAGAATCCTCAGAAACGAGGAGGAGTACCAGTCCGAGTATGCTCCTCCTGAACAGGTCGGTCATCCTCCTCCTCTGTTTGGTTTGTAAGAAAATGCACGAACATAAACTGAGAAAGCAACCATTTTTATTAACTTGATTGAGTAGGTCTTTGTGATTTCTCGATTCCCATTTAAGTGTATTCATACTGGACAGTTTGAAATGTCGATTGTAATCCATTTTCATATTTTGTGATGGAAATTATAACAATTGACAACAGCCTCCTACAAAATTCAATTCGTTTACGCTGCAAGATCGGCCAGGTGAGCTGTGGATGACAATGAGAGGAAAATTTGGAGACACTGAGGATATTAAAATTGAAGTTACTATGTTTGATGGGTATGAAATGGTTCCCAAGACTGGAGATGACAGTTCAGGGGAAGACGTGCGTCTTCACCTCAGTATGCTTGTTGATATTTCCAGGGGGGATGGCTCCAATGATTTGGAGTTTATGTGCTCGGCCTGGCCGGACCGTCTAGAGGTTCAGAAAGTTTATGTTCTTGATCGTTATAGAATGCCGGCTAAGCCATATATGGGACCTGATTTCAGGTACATTGCTTAATTTCTGCCAGCAAGTATATGATGCACAAAGAATGAATGTTTGTTGGTTGTATGAGTTTGCAGTGTTGGGTGTTTGGAGGTGACTTGTTTCTTCTTCTGTGTTTTTGGACAGGAGTTTGAAGAGAACGATTCAAAAGAGGTTTATTGAGTATTTGGAAGCAAGGGGAGTGAATGATGAGCTTTCTGTTTTCCTGCATCAATATATGGCGAACAAGGACAGAATAGAACTTATCAAATGGTTGGGAAAGGTCAAGTCCTTTCTGGAAAAATAGAACGGTACACATGTCTAATACCTCTTCCCTCGATTTAGATTTGTGGTGATTCATTTGTTCTTCTTCCCTGAAAAAATTTGTCATTGATTGGAAAGAAGGTTCTGCCTAAGTTATGCTTTATATTATATGTAAGCATGCCTTCAAAATCATAGGTTTACAATGTAATATTTATTCAGGTCAGCAACTCTGTCTGTCTTATAGCTTTAAGATGCTTCTGATTGTATGAATTACTCCAAGCAAAGTGATGGGAAATTAGGATTTGTGATGGTATGCAGATTTATGCAGTGTTCATGTCTTTGTTTGCTGATTTCCATTAGCTAAGCTGAAAATGAAGTTTGACAAGGGCTATCAGCTATGCGTCCTGAAAGTCTTACTTAAATAGAAACTCAAAATCTCTTGATGAATAAAATTGACGGAAAAAAAGTTGGTGCCTCTAGTATTATTGTTGAAGTATTGCGTCTCGTAACAGTGGAATTGGTAATGTCACGAGCTTGGTTCAAACCTCAAAACATGTTTTTATTAGTTATCGCCATTAGTCCTCCATCGCCCTTGTTTGAAACGTGATTGTTTGAAGGTGTCTGTGGATCATTTTTCACATGATTGTTTGAAGGTGTCTGTGGATCATTTTTCGGGGAACTAAGGCGGTTGGTTTGAATTATACCAAAAAATGAAAATAAAAAACCAGCAAACAACAAATTGTCGGCGTTTCCAGCATGCTTAAATATTTTATCAACCCATAGACAATCATAAGGTTTACTTGCAAAATGTGCATGCAGATGTGAAGGTGTGGGAATATGACATGTGCTGGGGCAACAATGCGAAAACCTTGTTTATTGGGCCGGCAGGTTCAGTGACTTACGCCAACCTCGAAGAAATTTGAGTTTCTGATGGGAAAGTTATGTAAAATGTGACACATAAACTATTATTACATTATTATACAAAAATGTTTAAAATTGAACTAAATCTTTCCTAGATTTTCAGATCAGTTAACGAAAGTGACTCGGTACACGCTCCTCAAAAGAGGACAAAGATACCACCAATTTTTTGAACATAAAAAAATGAAAAAGCAAGTCATTTCATATGATGCATACAACGACAAAAAAACATCATCAACCTTATATTCACCAAGTATGACTCATTTATTTTGGGTTTCTTGTAATCTCAAGTTGACAACTTTCCACGTTCATCTATCTAATCCCCTTCGTCAGTGGCAGCTTTGTCTCAACTCAAGTCTATTTTCTTTATTTTTATACAAACAATTGATATTGGAGAGGCGCGGCATTCGAACACACATTAGGATTAGGTATTAGGTATAAAGGTGACTGTCCTATATCATTTGAGCTATTAAAAAACGGTAAGTTTTGGTAAATTATGTGTTTATGATCTGTCTATTGTAAATCGGCAAAGATTATAGAATCAAATTTGTCTCATTGTATTTGATTGTTTGTTTTGTTTGGATCGAAGTAGACGGATAATCCTAAATTATTTAGAACAATACTCACAAGCGTCACATGTCCTTTCGCGTGCAAAGCATAACATTTGTGAAATTTTGTTGGCCCAAAACAAAGGAGCTCTCTTCTGATAACACTATTTGATTTGAACATGGCTCCACCTTCCAAATTTATCTGTTTTCTAAAATAAAATTCCTTTAATTGAAGAAAAATAACAAGAGGGTTCTTTCTGTTTTATTTTTAACCAAAATGAGGATTCAACAAGTTATAAAAAAATGAAAAATGGTAACCCAGATAGCTATGGACAAGTTCAAAGCAAACCAAAAAGAAAAAGGTTTTTTGCCGTTCTAAAAAAAATAAAATTTATACAACCATGAACCATATTCGAAATTTTAACAAGAAAATTTAAACAACATCTCAATAATAACAGAAAAAAGAAAAAAAAAAACAAAACAGAGGATCATATATGTTACATTGAATAAGAATTTTGCAGAGCCTATACTAAACTACCTAGAGCTTGAGGGACAAGTCAAGCTTCTTCATTTCCTCCTGATCACTCTTGAAACGACTGCCGTTTGCCAACCAGAATTTACCAATTTCGTCATTGGCTTGGGAACCCATCTTGTTCTTTCCCATGTCAAATCTACCAGCACCGCCTCTACCCGACGTCGTTTGGAAATTCTCTGCTGCTGCTGCTGCGGCTAGCTTCCCAATTGCTGGTTGTTGATCAATGAGCGGTCTTGACCTGTAGCCACGATTTCCATACGAACTTCCGAACCCAATAGAAGAAGATGACATGTGAGAATTAGGCTTGTGAATCATTGAGTGCGCCTGAATGTCCAAAGCTTTGTGATTATAAGCAGCGCCATGGAGAGGCAGAGAAGCCAAGCTTGAAATATGATGGTGATGGTGATGATGCAAGTAAGGGTACCCAAAACCTGCAGGTGCTGAGGCCATTACATGTGTCCCTAACATCCTCTGTCCTCTCTTTGCTAGGGTCCTCTCTCTTTTGTGGGCATTTTGGTGCCCTCCAAGTGCCTGTGAGCTGTAGAATTTTCTTTGACAGTAGTTGCATGAGAAAACTCTAGGCTCTGCCCCATCAGAGCTAGGGGCAGCTGTACCTTCTGATGAACCCATGTCCAGGCAATCAATGAGGTTGAGTTCTGGATTGAACCCACCATTTGAATCCTCAAGATCTACTAAAATATTGGGCTTCATCTCTTTTTCTTGATCTTTATTAGCTTCCTCTTCATCTTCCTCAACTAGTTTCTGTTTGGTCTCTTTGGGGTCCTGAAGTGGTGTGTTTGGACATGGAGGAGCCTCTGGAGCAGAGATGATATATGTTTCATAATTCCTGGTTGGTTCCATGGCACAAATGTTGGAGCTCTTTTTTTCTTTCTTCTTCTGAGTTATCAACTGGGATTATGAAATTTGAGTTGATAGAAAAGCTAGCTAAGCAACAGGGATAAAAAGTTTATTGATGGGGGAAAAGTAAATTGCTTTGTGGTATATATGGATAATGGAAGAATGCACTGTTCTACTAGCTTTTAAAATATTAGATCCTTTCATCAAATTAGATCTTTAAAGTATATTGGCAGGTTCACTTATTGTCATGCACTTTGATTGGATCAATGGAACTTTTTCACCGTTCTATCCATTAGCACATATATATTATACATTAATAAATCGACCCCAAAAAAAAAACGAAAAACTTATTTTTAACAAGAAAGTATCGTTTTCCTTTGATATCATATCCAAGATTGTGTTTGTTTACTGTAACATGCTCAATAATGTGCATCAAACTCAATAGCAGATTTGTTGTCGCATATTGAATTTTTTTCATATAAAAAAATCAATTAAAGATTGGACATTCGAACTTGTGACTTATTCGAGAAAATAAGTTCCTTAGAAAGATTTTGAGTTTTATTTTCTTGAAAAATAGACGGACTTGAAGCGACGGATGATCCCGGAAGTGTCGCCCTAGCCAGGGCATGCAGATGCCTTAGTACATTGAGTGTGCCCCTTACCACATTATGTGGGGGCATCACTTTGCTTGGATGTTCCATAATCATCTCACTCTCATGTGTTGTGGACAGACCATTATTAACATCTTCCTATAATTTCATTGACTTATTTTCTCCATCTCTATTGAGAATGAAATTAATCAATTACTTCGAGTTGGGGTCATGAAAATGAGGGTCCTTCTCAATGCCCTTTTTGTGTTATAATCATATCTTCCCTTTGAAAAACTAGACTGGAGAACTAGATCACAGGCTCAACACATGTTAGGTGGAGTAAATGTTATAATTACTGGTTTTTTTTTTCCTTTTTTTCAGAGAAAAACAATAGCATGTTATTGAGGAAGAGGAGGGTAACTAGTACAAAAATGGGGCTATGTCGTTAGGTATTAGGTGAGTATATCTATAACAATGGGCTTAGTCGTCGGTCTAATTGGATAGCCTTACTTGTTCAACTGAAAGCGGGAGCTTGAACCTTATCTTGGATAGAGTGCCCCGGTCCCCCTCAGATAATTACTGGGTTTTATATTGTCATTTTCATAACCTAATAGCCATATCAAATATATATAATTAACTATCATTGCCAATAAGTGAATGTTTTATTTGTTCTCCTCCTAAATTTTATCGTATTCTAGGGTCTAGCTAGCTGTTGTCAATTGTCTAGGCTCTAAATATAAAATATAATCTTAAACTTGTCATAGAGTCCATGTTACTACAGTAATATAGTATTAGCACGCAAAGTACAGACATAAACTAAGTTGAGAGACAGGTAAAGCCAATTCGGGTCGCTGGCATAAAGCCAAATATTCTGATATTTTTTAAAAAAGGAAAAAAAAGAAGAAAAAAAGGAAGAAAAAAGAGAGAGATGATTTGTCAATGGTAGAGAAGGCGACAAATGGCCGACAAATAAAAAAGGGTGAAGGTGACGTGGAGTTGCTCATGCTAATATGCAATGATAGTGCAGTTACATGCTGCATTATGAATATTTAAAGAGAAATAAATCTGCAAAGTGAAGCCCGAAAGATAAGTATAATCTGAGTTTTAATATTGATAATTATTGCACGGGCATAAAGTCATTTTAGGCAACTTTCTCTTGTTTCGGCCAATCATAACCCGCACATAAAAGTTTGGTAGAATAAACACAACTGACTGAGTGGAGTTTGGCATTTTACCCTCATTGGCTTAACTTAAGCGAAACAGACACCCCCTTATGATTCTCCATGTAACATTCATAGTCAAATCAAATGGGACCAAAATCTCTTTTTAAGATCTCTCTGTCTCTTTAAACCAACTTCTCACTTCACAACTCTAAAAGAAGAAACACAGGAAAGTTCCATTATTCCATTCCATTCCATCATCATCCTCGTCATCCTCGTCTCTCCTCCTCCACGTACAAATATACTTTCCATATCACCAACCCTAAGTAAGTTTGAAACCACTCACCTCACCTCACTCGTGTTCCAAATACAGACACTTCCACTTTCATTTCCCCACGCACACTCCAAAACACCAACAGTGAACTTCAGTCCACCTTAGGCTTCTTAGTGGGTGGGTCTAGGCCCGGCCTTTATTTGGGCTCATTCATTTCATATCCTAATTTAGGGTCTGCCGACTCAAACTGTTGAGGTGGATCCATGCTTTCTCTGCTTTTTGACTTTCTTTGCCAGTATAAACAATTTGACATTTTGATTCAGAACTGTGCAACATCATTATATTTAATATATAAAGTGAAGTTTACCCACTTTGAAGCTGAAGCATTCAACTTTGGCTAGTTTTGCTGATTTGATTGGATTGGACCAATCAAAAATACACTGAAAACATCTAGATAAACATTACAAAGTCCATCAAGCGTGCATCCAAAGTCAGTGGCTTGCTTTATTCGCCAATCACCACTCAGTTCATCTAACATGGCATGTTAAGATACTATATAATGCTACTCTTACTTGACTTGTTCAATTGTCAATTGCCATTTGTTGTCTTACAAGGAGTTCAACCAGATATCAGATCAGTGCATGTGATCATGATTCATGAATCATGACTGTATGCTTCAAAAGAAGAGCAAAGAACATGATGCTTGAAAGAATTATTTGAATTTCATTTAAAGCACAAGTCCAACTTTTCTATTCAATTTTTTCATGCGTTTTACCCAAACCCTGTAAATTAGTGGACTGAAAGAAAAAACAACTTAGACTCAAACTAGGACAGAAAGAGACAGAAGTAACTGGTCTGCAGACTTGTATTTATATTTGAGACCACCGCAACCAAATTTAACTTACCCTGTTTTTTTTTCTTTCTATTTACTATTCCATTCCAAACAGAAAGAACTTTTCTTGCTCCGTTGGTTCTAGTTTGGCTGCGTGTGTTTGATATATTCCTCCTCCTCCTTGACCCCTACATGCTAATCTAGTTTGAAAATTAAAATGTCTCCAGCAGGAAACTTCCACCGCAAACTTCCAAGCACAAAACCAATTGTGACAACTTGGTCGATTCAAACCATAGCCTATGCACTTGCCTGCTCTATAAAACAAACGCGATCAAACCCTGACAAAATCAGAGCAGCAATAATGGGTATCCCAAAGTTCATGCCTTTTGTAATCTTCCTCACAATTCTACTTCAAAATTGTGAAGCAAACACGTTTCCTTCTGTTCATCCACCACACAAAGGGATCAGAGCAGCATATTGGCCATCGTTTAACACATTCCCAGCTTCCTCTATAGACACCTCCTACTTCACCCACATCTACTATGCCTTCCTCTTACCCGAACCCACCACTTACAAACTCAACCTCACCCAATTCGACCAAAAAACAATACCCAAATTCATCGGAGCGCTCCGTACCCGAAACCCGCCCGTCAAAACCCTTCTCTCCATCGGCGGCGGAGGTAACAATGCAACAGTATTTTCACTCATGGCTAGCACCCAGCTGACCCGGAAAGCCTTCATCAGTTCCTCCATTGAAGTGGCTCGAAAATTCGGGTTCCAAGGCCTCGACTTGGACTGGGAATTCCCAGCTGATGCTGTGGACATGTCAAATCTTGCCTTGCTGTACAAGGAATGGAGGACGGCTCTTGACAATGAAGCTAGAATTAACGGTAAACCGCGTTTACTTTTAACCTCCGCGGTATATTATGCGTCGAAATTTACCGTTTATGGCGGCCCGAGAGCGTATCCAGCCTGGGCAATAAGTAAATATCTGGATTGGGCCAGCCCGATGTGCTTTGATTATCACGGGTCATGGGAAAATTTCACTGGGCTGCATGCTGCGTTGTATGATTCCAAGAGTAATATTAGTACCAGTTATGGAATCGGGTCATGGATCCAAGCCGGAGTACCGCCCAATAAGCTCGTCATGGGGTTGCCACTATACGGGAGGACTTGGACGCTCAAGAACCCGATCGTGAATCGGGTTGGAGTGCCTGCTTTGGGTGTTGGGCCTGGGGATGGCGTTTTGGTTTATCACCAAATACTAAATTTTAACAAGAGAACTAATGCAACTGTTGTATTTGATAGCAAAGCGGTGGCGTATTATTCTTATTCGGGTAGCTCTTGGATCGGGTATGATGATGTCCGATCCGTGAACATAAAGGTCCGGTTTGCGAAGTCGCTAGGCTTGGGTGGATACTTCTTTTGGGCTCTGGGTCAAGACAAAGACTGGACTATATCAAGCCAAGGTAAGTCTCCAGCACACACTCAATTACCTCATTAGTAATAGTATTTCGTTTCGTTTTAAAAATTAGGTTTGGTTTTACATTTCTAATGATTTGTTTCTTGTTTGGCAGCTTCAAATGCTTGGAAATATTGAAGGGAAAATGGAATATCCACAACTCCACATGTAGCCTACTATCATCTATTTGGATTTATGTTGTATGTTTAATTATCACATTGTAGCAAGGCGTTGTGGCGCAGTCAATCAAGGATATTTATCTATGCATCCAAAATTCTATATTCGCAAAACGATTGAAAAGGTTTCAACTATGTTTGCTTATCATGATATTCTTCAAACATAACCAAGTTAGCTAGAGCGGATGTGCTCTCCACTTAGCATCCGAGTTCAAATCACCCTCCCGTAGTTTAGATTAGTTTAAAGTAGAATATCGCTTGTATTAAAAAAAATCGTGATATTCTTCGAACATAACCAAAGGCTCATCTTTTTTTTCTTTTCTTTTTCCTTTTTCCTTCAAGGTAAATATGAAACTAAACCTAGAGTTGATTCTTCACAATATCATGCAAAATTGCAACTCTAAACTTATGTGGTTTGAAAACCATTGTGGAAATAATGATATACAATAACAAATTACACAACTATGTTAATTAATAATTTTTTAAAGTGCCAATTTTATTGCTAAAAAACTTCGGACAAAATTAATGAGTAAATGCCACTCGAAATTTTTTTTCTCTAATGAAAAAGTGAATTTTCCCCCATAAAAAAGGATGGAATTAAAAAAATGGAACATTCTAATATTGGGATTCTTTGTACCAAAAGCCAAATTGAACCAGAAAAGGGTTCATTTCAGGCAAGTTGGGTTTTGTGAAGGGTTTTTACAAGCCCAGTAAGAGGCTTCACTATTTAAACTTTTCTTTGATACTATTCTCTCTCTTCGATTTTTTTTTAGTGGGAGTTTGTGATTTTTTTTGGGTCATAAGTTTGTGAAGTTGTGTGGTTGAGACTCGAGAGGATGATTATTGAGCAGGGCCGTGATGGTAAAAGAGGTCAATTTCCCATTGGACTGCGTGTGCTTGCCGTGGATGATGATCCTACTTGCCTCATGCTCTTAGAGATTTTACTCAAACCACTGCCAATATCATGGTTTGTTTATGTGCTCTATCTTCTTATGCTTCTTTTTTGGAGTTTTGCTATGTTGTCAAGCTTCTTGGCTTTTTTTTTTTTGGGTCTGAATCACGAGGTGGTCCTGGATGGGCCCCAACTATGGGTGACACCTTTAAGCCTTAACCACAATCAAGACTAATCCCCACTCACACCGGGTCGGCTCGTAAAGGGTAAAGTGCTGGCTAAAGTGGTGACTCCGTACGAGAGCAGGGATCGAACCCCTGACCTCTCTTAAGGAATGAGAGTGCCGAACCACTCACACCAACCACCTTGGTTAAGCTTCTTGGCTTTCAATGGGAAATAGTGTTGTTGTTTATATTTAGTGTTTCTTTTGGTAATTATTTGTCTTATTTTTTGGTGAGAATTTTATGTAAATATGATCACAAATTACTTTTTGGTATTTATTTGTATTTTGGGCCTCATATAACAATTATTTGTATTGCCAACGGATTCTACCTCAATGAAAAAAAGGTCATGACTTGTAGATTAGTAGTCTCAGGTTTGAACCCCCATGGCCCCTTGGTTGAGAAACTCCCCTCCCATTATAGTTGTAATTTAGATTGTCGCTTGTATCTATATATATAAAGCAAAAGGCAGAAAATTGTGAAACATTTAAAATACCAGAAAATACCCTTGGTTAATGCAAACATTAAGAATTGAAATTATTAATTAAATGAGGATAATATGGTAAATTCACACTTTTTCATATTTAAAAAAATTAAAATTAAAAGAAAATCAAATAATGGATCCTATTTTTATGGAATACAACTACCCATTATCTTTTTTAATTCTAAAATAAATTTAAATTTTTTTTAAAAAAGCCTTTCGCAGGCGCGGAAGCACGTGCAGAGAGGCTAGTTATAATAAAATAAAAACAATTATTCGTATGTAAACTATTTATCTTTTTCTTCAAAATTTGGATCAAGTCTTAATTTTCGTTTCCCATAAAGCTTGAAATAAGATTGACCCTTGTAGTTGTTTGATCCAACGGTTACTCAGAGGAGATATAATTTTCAACAGATAGGTAGGGTTTTCAATTATGTTCAAATAGAATTCTCTCCTTCATTGTTAATAGTATAATTATGAATGGATTTTGCAGTTACGACTACCATTCACGCAATAACGGCATTGAAGTTGTTAAGAGAAAACATGTTCGATCTGGTCATCACTGAAGTCCATATGCCAGACATGGATGGATTCAAGTTGCTCCAGCTTGTGAGGCTTGAGATGGATCTCCCTGTTATAAGTAAGCCACCACCAATATCAGGAATTCTAGTGCAGACGTTCCTACTTTGCTAAATGACGGAATTTTGTCAATACGGGTTGTTATTGACATGTTATCGACAATGTTATATGTTGTCTTTATATCTTCTTTTTTCACACTAAAAATTTTAATTCGAAGTTTTTAGTTACACATTAATGTGACATAATTTTTGAAGTGTGACACACATGTTGTTGCTTGTTTCTCTAGTGTTGTCTACAAATGCCAGTACAGAGGATGTGATGAAGACAACAACCCATGGAGCTTGTGATTATCTGGTGAAACCAGTCCACATTAAGGAGCTGAAGAACATCTGGCAACATGTGATCCGGAGAAAGATGAAGGGTTATTATTCAATGGACCTGCACACAAATCTTGGCCATCGTCAGGGTATATTTGATGATCATGTTCATGTTGGGAGTGATGAACGATCTGCTAGACCATGCTCGCAATTATGCACCCGAAATTCAGAGCACAAAAAGCCCCAAACATTTTTTTGGACTGCAGAAATGCATCAAAAGTTTGTTGCTGCTGTTATTAAGCTGGGCATTGACAATATGTTCTTCAATCGTTTGGGTTCCCTATTTAAATTCTGCAATTGCTCATATGTTTGTTTTTGATGCAGAGGCTCTTCCCAGCAAGATTCTAGATTTGATGAATGTTGAGAAGCTTACAATAGAAAATGTGGCAAGCCATCTCCAGGTATAAATTAATGCTCATATTTCCTTAGTTCAGTGCAGTCTTTTATCTTGTATTCTAGCAAGCTTCTTATGCTCTTTACTTTTCTTATCTTTTTCGTTGCAGATATATGAGCCTTACCTGAAAAAACTCAGCTGCCTGGCTTTACAGAAATAAATCCTTAATTATTTTATGTTCCAGAAAGCTTGTTAATTCTTAATTATTACATGGCTTCCCATGATTTAAAAGGATGTGACAATTTACTTGGTTCTTTTCTTATAAGATAATAATTGCTTCACTTGATTCTTATATGCTCGTAGAATAACATTAAATTACTGTGAAGTTACTTGTAAATCACACGTAACATGTAAATCAGAGCAATTGTTATTCAAACCTAAAACTCTATTCGCATTTAAGAATTTAGACAACGCAACATCACTAATTGCCAGCCGTTGATATTCATATGTGTGTTGGTTGAAGACTAAAATAGCAAAATACTTAGATGATGATGAGGCAATCGATTCAGATAAAGGAAGGTTGTAGGAAAGTCACTCAACATGTTTAAAAATGGTGAGCATATATACCTCATAGGAGACCATTCACAAGCCTGCCTTATATTTAGCCAACTTGCATATTGTCCTTCCCCCCCTACCAGTCACCACGACCTACCTCCTCTCTTAAAATATAATCATGCCAAACGGAAAATCATGTGACTCAAAAAAGCAAGGAATCTGAAGATTTTGCACCCAACATGAATCTTCTAAAATAATGCATTTCACAAGCAGCAAAACTATATTATATTATTTCATGCTTATAGAGAACAAGAAAGAGGGATAAGCTTTTGTTATCATGCCACCATTTTATTAATACTTGTTGCCTTAGTCAATGATGCTGCTTTTGATCATCATGTATTTATTTATATAAGCTCATTGGTGTCTCGTTTTGAGCCAGATAATGGTTGCATGATCCTCCAATCCAAGATGCCGTAGGAATTAACTTAATTATATCATTATCAATCTTTAATCTTTGATGTTAGGATTATTTTGCCACTAAACTTCTAAATCATCATGATGTAACTTAATAACTTTTACAATCAACCTATGCTGCTGGCTGTTGATTTTTGCTGACTACCTAATGGCCCCTTAATAGATTTCCAGTTAAATTATTCTTATTAAACTACGATTATGACGAGTCGTTCTCATTCTTGGTCATCGATGATAACTCTAAATGAGTTCTTAAGATCAGAATATTATCATCCTTAAAACGCAATCTATATATAATCGTTTAATTAACTAGTCTAGCTACTTGTACTGGTACTCTAATACAGTTTGTGAAATGATAGAAGTTGGATGAAATGAAAGCTTGTGTTAACTTTGCTTTGAGGGCTTAAGTACGGATGGAAACCACTAAATATTATATTATATTAGGGTTTAGGGTAAATCTCATTGTCTAAGATTATAACTTTTCACACAAAAAATCCGAAATGCCTCATGCTACGTTTTTCTCCACTAAAATGAGTCGATGACACACTCAAGGACCAGGCTAGGTAGTGGGTTTTCCTCTTCGGGTATATATCTTACTTTTTCTTCTTCTTTTTTTCTTTCTTTTTTTGGCCGAGTGGTTTTGTTTTGAAATTCACAATAAGAGGAAAACGATAAATGTACGTAGTTTTATTGTATCAACTTAATTAGTGTAATTAGAAGAGGCCATGCTCTTTGCTTTAGACCAAAATTAAGAATAATATAGCTTTTTTTTATAGGGGATGAGTCGAACACGACATGTCAAATTCGACGAGAATTGTTTTTAACCACTTCATTTACAAGTTTCTTACCAAATTAAGAAGAAAATTAGCAGCCAAATCATTGACTAAAGAAAATTGTTTGAAACGAAGACATTGGAATGTGTTAATTTTTTAAAAGGAAGAAAAATCAACATATATATGTAAATATAATAAGATTTTTTTAAATACAAGCGATAGTCTAAACTACAAGGAGGAGGGGGTTCATACACGCTACTAAGGTGCTAGAGGGGTTCAAATGCAGGTTAAGACCCTTTTCCGCTTCTTCTAAAATCAGTATATTGTGGGAACTTGTTTTGGAATTCCAAGCCAAAAAAAGGAAGAAGATATTGAAGAAATACAAAAATGTTATGAAAAAGAAGGGATTTTTTTTTCTACTACGAGCCTTCCAAAAATAATATTTCTTAAAGTCTACAATATTCATTATTCAATATTGAAACAAAAGCTACTTATGTGTTTTTCTTATCTTTATATTCTTTACATAATCAAACATTCTTCTTCGATCTTTTTTTTTAATGACCAAAAAGATCTTTTTTTTCCTCATTATTGAAGGTAATTATGAAACCAAATATAGAACTAAATCTTAACAATATCATGTAAATTGCAACTCTAGATTTGTGTTTCTTAAGAATCATGGTGGAAAAATAAGTTACAAATCGACAAGTATTTAACATTTATAATCATGCACCAAATTAACTCGGGTTCCTAAATCCCAATCTAGACCACTATATTTGAATTTCAAATGCTGCATGCGATACATTCTTTTGTAAAAACATAAAGGAAAAAGTCAAGACAATAAATGGTTTTTTTTTCCTTTAAATATCACTACATGTAAATTTCAGCAAAATCTAATGAAAATATAATATTAAAAGAACCAACTAGGAAATTTTGACAAAAAGGAATATGAAAAAGAAAAACATTTTTTAGAGGAAGACGATAGTATTTTATTGAAGAAAAATGAGTAATTAGTAGAAAAACCGGGGGGACTATGTTGTATTTTATGAAAAAGGAAATTTTTTGTGTGGATTTACTTCTCTTCCATTTAATAAATCATATCAGAATCTTCAGTTAAATCTTTCGGTTGCAGATAAAATCATAAAAGAACCAGTCAACTTGGTAAGATTCTCTTTTTCCCCATATGTATTTTTCAGTTTTAATGCTAATTCGTTTGTTCCTTATTTGGAAAATTCTAATTTCCTTTTTCTTATTGGGTTCCAAAAATTTTAATTTCTTATTTTTGAAATAGTCAAAACACAAAAAAATTTAAGAAGGGAAGAAACTCAAAATCAAAATTAATGCGAGATCATAATAATGAGAATCAACTGAGCCCAAAACCAGGAAAAAAAAGGGTCCATTTCAGGAAAGTCTACAGGGTCTAATTCTTCTTCCTTCTCTCACAGTCCATACATAGTTCAGATTCCTTTTCTCTCTCTTTCAACGCTTACACACACACACCCCAAGAGAGAGAAAGAGAGACCTTCATTAATAATAGTCTATGTTTACCACTAATCGCATTCCTTAATCCCTCTCTCCCTCTCTCCCTCTCTCCCTCTCTCTCTAATCACCCAACCCATTAGACTTTACAAGTCATTTTCTCTGCATCTTTGTGTTTTTATTGATTCTGGGTTTTGCCAAAAACCCAAAAAAGCAAGAGGCTTCAACATTCAAACTTCACTTCTCTCTCTTCCATTTTTATTTTCCGAGTTTGTCAAGTTCTCTGCTTGAGAAAAATGACTGTTGAGGGGGTACTTGATGAACCCAGAGACCAGTTTCCCATTGGAATGCGTGTGCTTGCCGTGGATGATGATCCCATTTGCCTTAAGCTCTTAGATGCTCTACTCCGTCGGTGCAAATATCATGGTTTGTTAATGGGGTTTCTGTGATGCCTTCTGGTTTTGTTTGGTGCTAAAATGGTGTTTTTTGTTTGGATTTTGTGTTGCTGTTGGTAGTTTTCATTTTGGTTATGTAAATTTATAGCACCTCCTTGATTTGTTTGCACTTGGGGTTTTATGCCAAAGTCAGTTTAATATAAGTTTGCATGAACATGGCTTCTTAGATATGTGTTTCTTGAAAAGATTTTGTGAGTCAATTTTGTATGTCTCCCTGATTCAATAATTTCTTCTAATATCCATTTGTATTTAAACGGTTGATCCAATCTTCTAAAATTAGGAGTAAAAGTCATGTTATTTCCCTTGAATTTAGAAACAAGAATATCTATCTCTAAGTTCTGTAATTTTGTCAGTCAATTTTATATTTTCTCCCTGATTCTGTAATTTCTTGTAATGATGATTTGCATATAAAAGGTTGATTCTTTTTACTAAAATTAGGAGAAAATGTTTTGTTTTTTCCTTTGAATTTAGAAATAAGATTATCTCTTAGATATTCTAGTCAATTAGGGGAGACAGGCATTCCGCAAATGGATTCTCAATTACATTCAAATTGAATTCTCTATTGCATTTTCTATAGGTACAATCAACATTTTCAGTTGGGTTGTGGTAGATTGGTCTGTTTTGGTTGCTCTTTTTTTGCATCTGTACGCTTGATTTTCCCCCTTGAAAATTGGTGGGTTTATAGTAACCTTGATGGATCTTGCAGTTACCACTACCAGTCAGGCAATAACGGCATTGAAGTTGTTGAGAGAAAACAAGAACAAGTTTGACCTGGTTATCAGTGATGTACATATGCCAGACATGGATGGATTCAAGTTGCTCGAGCTTGTAGGGCTTGAGATGGATCTCCCTGTTATAAGTAAAGCCACGCTAACTCTGCACAATCTTCATTATGTTGTCTGTAGCTTCTTTTTTTTTTTTTTTTTTTTTTTTTTCCCAATTTAAACTTTTTAATTAAACTTTTGATAAATGAATACAAAACTGTGAAATCCCTTTCATTTGTTTTGTTAAATTCTGAAATTTCGAGATATCTTAAATCTTTAAGATATTGGTAGAATTGTAGGAGCTCTTCTGCAGCTCTTGTTTTTAAGTTAGGATTCATTACTAATTATAAATGTAAACATGTTCTTAGTGTTGTCTGCAAATGGGGATACCAAGCTTGTGATGAAGGGAATCACCCATGGAGCTTGTGATTACCTGCTAAAACCCGTCCGAATTGAGCAGTTAAAGAACATATGGCAACATGTGATAAGAAGAAAGAAAGTCGATTCAAAGGACCAGAATTCTTGCAATAAAGAAAAGTCACATGCTGGAAATGGTGAAGGAGGACCTGGATCAGCGGGCACGGGAAATTCAGATCAGAATGCAAAGCTCAATAAAAAACGTCTTTTTTTTTTTTTTTTTTTTTTCCCAATTTAAACTTTTTAATTAAACTTTTGATAAATGAATACAAAACTGTGAAATCCCTTTCATTTGTTTTGTTAAATTCTGAAATTTCGAGATATCTTAAATCTTTAAGATATTGGTAGAATTGTAGGAGCTCTTCTGCAGCTCTTGTTTTTAAGTTAGGATTCATTACTAATTATAAATGTAAACATGTTCTTAGTGTTGTCTGCAAATGGGGATACCAAGCTTGTGATGAAGGGAATCACCCATGGAGCTTGTGATTACCTGCTAAAACCCGTCCGAATTGAGCAGTTAAAGAACATATGGCAACATGTGATAAGAAGAAAGAAAGTCGATTCAAAGGACCAGAATTCTTGCAATCAAGAAAAGTCACATGCTGGAAATGGTGAAGGAGGACCTGGATCAGCGGGCACAGGAAATTCAGATCAGAATGCAAAGCTCAATAAAAAACGGAAGGATCAGGACGAGGATGAGGATGATGATCGTGATGAGGATGGACATGATAATGACGATCCGTCAACCCAGAAAAAGCCTCGGGTTGTTTGGTCTCTAGAGCTGCATCGCAAGTTTGTGGCCGCTGTTAATCAGTTAGGCATTGACAGTATGTTCTTAATCCTTGGTCAAAGCTATTTGAGGAAATTATCCTTGTATTTGTGATAACCCTTAATATGCGGAATTTTTCAATCTTTTGGTCTTTTTTGAAATCATCTCTGAAGTTTCTGCATTTATAGCCTGGATTTGAAACTCCTAGTAGTGAGTAGATCATGTATCCCGAATCTGTCATACTTTGTGTTTTTTATAAAGATTTTTTTAATACTAACTCTTTTGCTTAAATTTATTTGTATGCAGAGGCTGTACCCAAAAAGATTTTAGATTTGATGAATGTTGAAAAGCTTACAAGGGAAAATGTGGCAAGCCATCTCCAGGTATGAATGCTCATATTCCCTTAGTTTAAGACAGTAGTAATATTCTATTATAGGAAGCTTATGTTGTTTTATTCTTTTGTTGTTGCAGAAATATAGGCTTTACCTGAAAAGAATCAGCCGTGTGGCAAACCAACAAGCTAATATGGTGGCAGCCTTAGGGACTTCTGATTCTTCATATTTGCGAATGACTTCTATGAATGGAGTTGGAAATTTCCATCCACTGACGGGACCTGGTCAGTTTCATAACAATGCATTCAGATCCTTCCCACCTAGTGGGATGGTTGGTAGATTGAACACTCCTGCTGGTCTGGGTCTACATTGTCTTCCTTCTTCAGGAATGTTTCAATTGAGTCATGCACAGAATACAAGCAACTCCATTAATGATCAGCCATTGATATTTCCTGGAAACCGTAATGGAAATATACTGCCAGCACCGTTGGAACTTGATCAACAACATGGTACTGAAGCTGCCTGCGTTGCAGACTTCTCTGCTGCTGTCAATGGTACAACAGTTTATCCTACTTCCAGTGGTCTCCCAGATGCAAAAGTGTTTAATAGTTCAAATGATGCTCTTGGGCTTGGAGACAACCCAATTTTAAGACACACTCGAGATTCTGAAGTTGGAAGAAATTATGTAAATCAATCTTCTGTATCAAGGGCCTCCTTAAGATCAGAATTGTCACCACCTTTTTTGGATCATGGTAGGTTGAATGACAACTGGTCAAGCGCTTCTCAGCCATCTATGTTCCGCTCAAATTCATTTTCTTCACGTGACTCATTCAAACAACCTACTCTGCTTCAAAGTAACCTGAAGGACAATATGCCTGTTATGTCTTCACAAATTGGGAGCCCTCAGATTGATGTCTCTATCTCCTGTCAATCGCAGGATTCAAGATTTGGACTACCAATCCAAGCATCTGCAATCAGCAATAATTCTGAGCAAACAATTAATAATGACCCATTTCAGGGGTGGGATGACCATAAGCAGCTGCTTCAAAGTAACCTGAAGGACAATATGCCTGTTATGTCTTCACAAATTGGGAGCCCTCAGATTGATGTCTCTATCTCCTGTCAATCGCAGGATTCAAGATTTGGACTACCGATCCAAGCATCTGCAATCAGCAATAATTCTGGGCAAACAATTAATAATGACCCATTTCAGGGGTGGGATGACCATAAGCCGGATTCCCAATACCCTTCAGATGTTATATGTACCTCAATGAACTCTTTGATGCCGGTTAATGATACTATGGCTCCTTTTGACCAGAATTCGGACTCTAGAACGACAACCTTCCAAAGAAACATGGACTTCAATTCGATTGGACAATCTAATTTTCTCGATCCATTACTCATGAAATATGATGATATTGAACTCTCAACTCAGGATGCATCATTGAAGATGAGACCGGGGTACCTTATGGACCAACGGAAGCTGCAGGGCGGTTACAACCCCAACAATGTTGGGTCATTGGATGAGTTAGTGAGTGCAATGATGAAACAGGTAAGAAACTTATTTTACCTGCCTTGCTTATTACTGTTTGAACTTGGATTCACTGACATTCCCTCTACAATGTTTTGATAACCAAAAGATAAAGGTGAGCTTTGTGTAGTTTTGTGCAAGTATTAGCAACACTTCTGGGGATCTGTTGAGGCGTAACAGTCCTTGTAGGGTCCTGTATGCTAAAAGAAATAGTGTTAAAATAAATCATGTTGGTTTCTGCCTCCGGATAGGTGCAACTTAGTTTTCATCTTCCCTACTTGATTAAATTTTCTGTTTGGAGCTAGCCAACTTTCAACATAATCTGAAACAGTGCAGCTATTTCACTGCATATTTCCGGTTAATGCAAATTTAACATAGACGGTCTTCAGTGATTATATAAGCATTAGCTTTTTGAAACTCAATAACATGAACTGGTGATGCAGGAAAGGAGATAAGGCGAAGTCAATGGCGGGGAAGGTTCAAAGGCCATGTAGGGAAAAAAGAGAGGAGATATCACTGACCTTCACTCCTCTAGTTTCAGAGCATTTGTCTACATATTTACATTAATATCAAGTTTTGTATTTTCCTAGCAAGAATTAGTCTCCATTCTCTCTAGTTTAGTTGCACATTAATCCGTTTTAGTTGTTTATCGAACAAAATTAGGGCTTGTTTAATCTGCTGTCATCCAGCCCCGGCAATGTATTAAGGAGTAGTTAATGATATCTCTTTGACTACACTACATATATGCTTTGGCTTCCCTTTAATATGTTCTGCATAACTAGCATTCTATTCCTCACACGCAGCAGCTTTATTTTTCTTCATTTTAATATATATATATTACAAAAATGAAAGAAGAATTTTGTGAATTATTTAGTCTTATATGTGGCTCTACATGCACGAATATGAAGATTACGATTTGATTGAGATAATGACAGGACTCACAATTTATTGAAGCATCTTTCGCCTGACCAAGAATAGTACATGTCACCATAATTTTATAATTTGAGTTTGTTCTGTAATGTGCGTTACCAAACGACCATCTCACATATATCTTGGAATAAATAGTTGGCTTTTGAACAACTCATATGGCAAATGCAAATCATAATCATAAATATATATATATATATATATATATATATTATCATCTAATCATCAAAGACCACCTAAAGACTTGCTCACAACCCCCGCCCCACACCACTTACAAACAAAAAGAGAAAAGTAGACGCTAAACAAATCAAACAGTTTCACAGCAAGTTGTTCTTTGTTTTTGTTACATTGGATCGACCAAACGAACTCTTGATCTATTCTAATCCTAACAGTGCTTTTCTCGCTCGACTCACTACCCGAGTGAGCCCCAAAAGCGGGTTAAGTTTTCACTGCTCATTTATTAGTGAGGAAGTAGCGAGTGAAGGCACTGAGGCAGTGTGGAAGCAATCCAACTCTCATGTCAATGCCCCTATTATCCCTAGGATTCTGCATAAAATATGCAACCTGTGGGATTGGAGAAACCAGTGGAGAAGCATAGGCTGCTGCTTCTTGCAAGAACCCAATTTTGTGGAAGGGCATTCTGGTCCAATCAGATATCAAAGTGAGCTCCTTGAGAGGAGGCAGAGATGTCTGGGGCCCTGCAACTGCCTCCATATATGCCTTGACATAGTTGCTTGTAACAGAGTTCTTGGCTTCCCTTATCTTTTCAACAATGGCTTTGTGGGTCGCTTGCTCTACTTGCCCTGCTGTTAGGGCAACAGAGGCAAGGACATAAGCATTGCCGCTGAACCCTTCAGGGAGTGGAGGCTCCACCTTGTTCCTCGCGTCCACTGCAAATTGCAGGCACACCATTGTCTCCTTCCTCGCTCCTAAAGCTTTGGTCTTTGCCTGATAAATTCACATAAATTATTCATGAATCTTCAATTTTGTGATGAACAATTAGAAAGAAATACTATTATGGATTAACCCAACAATTCGTTAAGTTTGACATTGCTCTTGATTATTGAGTTTATGTCTTTGATTTGATTGATGCGTAGTTGCATATAAACTGGTACGTTGGAACTACTTCCAAAAAAGGAAAAAAAACGACAGTATTTTTTTGTCGACGTTGGTTAATAGAGATGTCTGGGGCCCTGCAACTGCCTCCATATATGCCTTGACATAGTTGCTTGTAACAGAGTTCTTGGCTTCCCTTATCTTTTCAACAATGGCTTTGTGGGTCGCTTGCTCTACTTGCCCTGCTGTTAGGGCAACAGAGGCAAGGACATAAGCATTGCCGCTGAACCCTTCAGGGAGTGGAGGCTCCACCTTGTTCCTCGCGTCCACTGCAAATTGCAGGCACACCATTGTCTCCTTCCTCGCTCCTAAAGCTTTGGTCTTTGCCTGATAAATTCACATAAATTATTCATGAATCTTCAATTTTGTGATGAACAATTAGAAAGAAATACTATTATGGATTAACCCAACAATTCGTTAAGTTTGACATTGCCCTTGATTATTGAGTTTTTGTCTTTGATTTGATTGATGCGTAGTTGCATATAAACTGGTACGTTGGAACTACTTCCAAAAAAGGAAAAAAAACGACTGTTTTTTTGTCGACGTTGGTTAATACAAGACTACAAGTGGAGTGTAAACATAAAGTGAATATTCCCGAACTTTTAAACTCCTTTAAAATCTCAATTGAATACATTAATTAGTGTGTTGAATTTTCATAAAAACTCGAATAATTTTTGTGGTCGGTAATTTTGATAAAACTAAAGTTTCAGTGGCAAATTGAATTGATAAATTTACCTTCCAGAGGTGAGCAGCAACAACTTCAAAGGATGAACAAGAAAAACCACCCATGTCACCACCAAAAACCTCCCTCTTCAAACTCTCTATCAATGCACCGCTCAAATGAAAGGTTTTATGAACATAATTATTCTCAATTTGATCCAATTTGATCTGGTCACTGGATGCTGCTGCTGCTTGCATTATCAATTGGTACAAATGATCCACGGCAGCAGCCCTTGTCAATACCGAAGGGACGACGTCGTTCCCATTTTGCAAGAACTTTGCACCAACCCCTTTTGGAGCTTCATGACCAAACTTACCCATCAACAGTGTCCCTCTGTCGTGCACTGGCAACTTATCAGGCAGCTCCAAAGCTTTGTGTTGTTTCATAATTACGGCAGAATTTGAAGCCCATGCACACATAAAGTCATATGCCGCCGGGCCATCAAACAGCGAATGGCTGATACCAATACCGATTGAATAGCCTCCACACCCAAACTTGGTCACCTACACCAACGTAACCATTCCAAGAATAATTTAACCAACTTAATTCAATTACAACACACACATATTTTTTAATATATAAACGATGACTTAAATGACTCCAAATTAATCTAATCTATGCATGGAAAAGGGAACTCAAACTTTGGTGACATGGGGCGGACTCAATGTCCCTGTCAACTGGTTACACGCATATTTTCCTTATTCAGTGTATAGGGAGCATGCTTCCAAATTAAGGAGTTTTTTCTTATATGTAATTTCAAGAAACCCTAATGAAGAATAAACAAAGATTTGTCTGAAAAATAATTAATAATATTAAATTTATTAAAACATAAATAAAGATAATAATAATAATAATAAGGAAAATGGAATTGGTCCAATTGGGATTTGTTCTAGCTATGAAGGGTTAATTTCAAGAAACACATTAATGTCTTTGAACAATTAAAAAGACATGCACGCACACACATATATATACATGATTTCTCTCTTTAAATTAAGAAATGCATATATATTGAAGGGAAATTTGCATAAATATCACTTGAACTTTTAAGTACGTGCGTGATTATCACTTGAACTTTTAATCTTAATTATTAACCACCTAAACTTTATAAAATATAGCAATTCATCATCTACGTGTAACTCTGTTAAGATTTTTGTTAAGTAAGCATATTATCTCTTGCCTCCCCAAAATCTTTCTCCTCCAATTCCAATTTGCAATTCAAGGTGAAGTCTTACAAAAAGTGGAAGATATGCTCAAGAGTGCTAAACATACCCTAGTTCTCTAATACATTAAAACCTAGCAATCAAGTCCTTTTCCTTTTTTCTTTGTGCTAGTAAAATCAAACTTGGCAAACCTAGTTAAAGCTGAATTTGTTATTGATTTGCAGAGCTTGGCCTATTGTTTGTGCACAGAGAGAGAGAGAGAGAGAGAGAGAGAGAGAGAGAGAGTGGGGAGGGGAGTTTTAGGGCGAGGGTGGGGTAGGAGGGATGGATTGTTGTGGGCTGTGGCCTTTTGGCTGGGAAGGGGGCTGTCGTGAAGGAGAAGGGGGAAGGGGAGCTAATGGGATAATTAGGTTGAATTCCTTTTTTTCTTTTTAATTATGTTAGTTTTAAAAAATGTTTTTAATTATAATAATTTGGCAAAAAAAATTATAGTAAATTGATGAAAGTTTCCTTTAAAAAATATCATATGTTCAACTTGTGATTTTATTTAACGGAAATTTTAATGGAGTTACACATAGGAGATAATTTACTACACTTTGCAAAGTTGAGGTGATTAATGGTAAAAATTGAAAGTTCATGTAATAAAAGCATATATGGCTAAAAGTTTAGGTGCTATTTATGCAAATTTCCCTATATTGAAATAAGGTCATCAATTTGATGAGTACGTACCTGAGCAACAACCAAAGGCATCTGAGAGAAGTCTCCATCAAACACAGGCTTGTAAACCAACTTCTCCAAAAAGTCATTGTACTGAGAGAGGTCTCCAAGCTCAGAGATCTCAACCTGCGTCTCTGCCTCAACCAGAATAGCTCCTTTGTTGTTGCACCACAAGTTAAGCTTATTTCCATCACTAGGGTTCAAGGTCAACCTCCCCGCCGCCGGGTACCACACCGACAGAGCCTCCTCCAAGCCACACTTCAAGCCTCTGAAAACTGAATCACGATCAACGAACAAATTATTATTCTCGTGTCCGTAAAAGAAAACCAAGTACATATGGACTGGACACTGCCTGTCCAAGTTTGAGAGGGTGAGAATTTTTGGAGGGTGCAAAACTTTTGGAAACACAGACGCGGTTTTGGTGATCGAAATAACCCTTAAGTAATCACCAAAATCAGGTTCTGTGGCCATGAGAGATGAGATTGTACTAAAAGCTGTTTTATTGTAGCAAGTGCAGGTTTTTTTTTTCAAGCTTAGCTTGGCCTTAACTAACAACTGTGACAGAGAGAGAGGTGAGGAGTTGGGTAAATATATAGAGATGGGTAGGGAGGTTAGTTAATTATATGGCTACTCAGAATCAATCACATGCTTTTGCATGGTACTGTGTACTTTTTATCATGAAAGAAATTAAAGACTGAATTAATAGGTGAATTTAAGACTATAGTACTATATATATATATATATATATATATATATATA